TACGTCCCAACGCAGTATAGGACGAAATAAATAAATTTGCCAAATTTTATCAATATATATCCATAAACAAGTAAACTACAACCATTTTCATTTTCTCCATAAGCATAACATGGGAATTTTAAATTACACTATTTTTGAATTTTATCCATGACCGTTAGGCATACAACAACGCTTCAATATACTAAATTATTTATTTTTTTCTAAGCTCTACAAAACGGTTTAAAAAGAAATTTGCTAAATTTTTTGTTTTTAGGGTCAAAAATGGGAAAACCCCATTTTACCCCATAAAACCCCGTTCCCATGGTCCGATTATGCTGGATCGCGAACTCGTTCGAATAAACGTAGGTTTACACGTTTGTACCAAATTTCATCAAAATCGGATCATTTTTGCTCCAGTTATCGCGCTAACAAACACACACACACACACTCACACACATATATATCTATATATATAAAGCTCAAATACCACTGACTCACTCACTCATCACGAAATCTTAGAAACCATAAGACCTAGGAACCTGAAACTTGGCAGGCATCTCCCTTTTGGGTAGTAGACGCTCACTAAGAAAGGATTTTACCCTCCGACCTCTGGGCTCCGCCCCAGTGGCTCTGGAGTTTCTCATGTTAACCTTATGAGTACTCATATTTAAATGGAATTAATGAATCTAACAGCTGTTTCAATTAAACAAGTTGGTTCTGTTCTAACGTTTTCAATAGCATTAAAGTTACAAGCATTACCAACAGGGTGCAGCACTATTATTTCTTTTACATTTATGACAACAGCTAATTTGCAACCAAAAGGTGAGTGAGCGTAGCGAACGAACTTCAACCTGGAGGAGAGTTAGCGTAGCGAACGAGCTAACCTGAAGGCAAGTGAGAGCAGCGAACAAGCTCTAACCTAAAAGTGAGTGAGTGTAGCGAACGAACTTTAACCAGGACGTCAGGACGTGATGGCCTCTAGGGACCTCAAAATGAAAAATTAAATCGGTCCTTTGTCCAGGTCTTACCATGAGTACTACGGTAATAGCTTATTCCCTATATGGGAAATTCGCTAAAAGCGTCAAAAAGTTATAAGATTTACCAACAGGGTGCAGCACTATATTTTTTTGCATTTATGTAAATAGCTAATTTGAACTAAGCAGCAACAAAAAACTGTGATAAGCAATGAGAACTGTCAAAGTAGGATTTTTTACAGTTATATTTATGTTTTTAATGTCATGAATAGTTTGTGATTTTTTGCGAATTTTTAATATTTTTTTTATTGTTTAGGTGAAGTGGTAGTACATTATGGCTATGGTAGATGTTTAATACCATAGTATACCATCAATTTAAAGAAGAAAATTTTATCAAACTTTGTCCTCCCCCATTGCAAACACAAAGCTTGAGTATAACTGCAATAAGCATTTAAAACTTATAAGCCAATCCCGTATGAAGGACGGGTACTCTGCTAGTATATATATCAATTTGAACGGAGGGTGTTTTTGGCCTCTGGGGACCTCAAAACGTAAAAGTAAATCGGTCCCGGGTCTAGGTATTACCATGAGACCTACGGTTATAGCTTATTCCCTATATTCGCTAAAATAACCGAAATACATCATCACGATCTTTTGGAACTTGGTGTTGTTTGATAGAAAATTTTAAATGCTAAATAAAAGTGTTCTTAAAATATTTTAATAAAATTAGCCATTTATTAGCAATTTCAATTAAAAAAATTAAAATGGCTGCCATTTTGAAATTTTTGCTTGGATTAATATACATTTTTTACCAATGTGGGTCTGTTTTATCTAAACATACATACCAAGTTTCATAATGATCGGTTAAAAAAAATTCAAAGATACAAATGTTTATGTGAAAAAATTAAAATGACAGATATCTGGTTAACGAAGCGATTTTGGAAAAATGTTATTCTTGTTTATCTCTTTCTTTTTGACCCATAGAACCATTTCCCAGAGTTTGGCTGTTTACTTAAGGGACACCCTGTATATACTTACTTCTACTTTCTGTGTCCGGAAATCAGACTTCGTTTTTCCAAAAAACTAGCTACCGATATGGCTTTGTCATTCGCTTGTAAAAGATCATCTAATGTGCAAGACTGGTCTAGGCGTGGGCAGATAAGCAGATGGCCAGGATCCTGAACAGCACCACACGCACACAAGATGTTTTCTTCGTCTGGTAAGAGACCCCATTTCTGCATGTTTGTCTTGCATTTTGGTACCTCGACCCTGATTCGATTTAGGGTCTTCCAACATGTAATGCAGGCCTCCACCAGAAGTCAGTTCCTCCCTAGCTGGTATGGGAGGGTTAGTCAACGTGGCCTCCCACCTTGCCACCCGATTGCTTGAGATTGATCCATCCAAGACTTGTGTCCGTGATAAAAAGCTATTTCTGGACCGAAGCCGTCGCTCTGCAGGTTTGTGGCCGTGTAATGGGTGACGAGAGTCTGTCTCTTTCTTAGTCCTTTCTGCTTTGGCAGCGACCTCTTGTCGGATTGATGGAGGGGCTATCCCTATGATAGGATAGAGTTGGTGTACTGCGGTTGGTTTCAAACACCCAGTTACAATCCGAGCCATGTCATTGACTGCAATGTCAACCTTTTTTGCATGTGACGATGCATTCCATACTGGTGCAGCGTACTCCGCAGCCGACACACTGAGCGCTAAAGCTGAGGTTCTGAGGACATTAGGGTTAGCACCCCAGCACCGTTTAGACAGATTCATTTTTAGAAGTCTTCCGGTTGTAGAAGGATTTGCCACAGAGATGTCAGCGTTGCCCGGGGTGAGCCCGATTGTGATGTCGTTCTTAGCGAGTAATGGTCACAATCTCCGGGGAGGCTCCTTCTGTGCACCCCACCCTGTATATAGCCCAGGTTGTATATACCCTGTATGTATAATATTTATTTTGGTATTTAAATTTATCATAATGATTATATTTTTTTTATAACCATACATTGACTTTCTACTAAACATTCAGTGGTATTTGTAGTAATGACTACATCTGTCACAATAAAATAGCTTTTAAACTATTTATAACTGTAGCAGAACAAAAATTAAAAATTTCAAAAACATAGGAATAGTTTTATTTTTTATGTTTGTAAAACTGTGTTTCAGTACCTCCACAGCAACAACGCCAAGTGTTTCGTTAAGTACTCATACTATAATACCTTTTGTTAACTAAAGTAGATCACACATACATCCTTTATGAGTGGTCCATAGCAATATAATTTTCTATAAACTGTTATTTGGCAGTTCATCATGTACACTGTTTTTAAACAACTGATCAATACTTTAAGCTTTGACTATTAATACAAGACAGCTAAATAATGAGTATGTGGAAGGAAACAGGAGACTTAAGATGAGACATGCGACAAGGGCCTTCGAGGAAAGAGTCAAAGCCTGCCTTGGGGATGTTTACTGAAAACTCTTCAGATCAATATTAATATACTTTTTGTTTATTATCCTGCATTTTATTGAATAACTCCAATAAACCCTTAAATTTACTTGTTAACCAAGCACACCATTATATCTAGTCAGTCATTAAGAAAAGCTTTAGTTTTGAGTTGTTATTCAGTTTGAAGCTTAGTTGTGATGTTACGGCAAACTGTTTATAGCTAGTATGACATATTTTGATAGTATTATTTTAATTAATTGCTTGCAAAAATATAAAACATTGTACGCATCCAGGACAAGTAAGTTTGGAAATCTGCCAGAAAATATTCTTCTGATTGTAAGCATCAATTTATTTTGGTATCAATAATGATGTATGTAAATAGAAAGGAGAGCAAAGCTGGGTAATGTCATAGACAAAACATAGTCCCTTAGTAGATTTCCCATCCTTATGGAACAGCTGAAGCCAGTTTTATTGTTAATTTTGTCCGGTTTTCTGTAGATGTTGTGTTTTGTTTACAGTTTGTTTCTTGTTATTTCAGTAATTTAAAACCTCGTTTAACCAAATAAAACAACAATCTAATCATAAACAACAACTCGTCCACTAGCTATACAGACTGTCCCAAAAGTCCCGGACCGGTTTAATATTTTCTAAACGACAACAGATAAATCAATAAGATTTGGTACATCAACACCACACCTAAAAATCTACTTTTTTAAGGAAATATCAATTTCCTGTCACATCATGGGGACGTCCCGCAAGGAGTCAGAAGGAAATCTTAAATAGAAGCATAGGTTGACATGTACATCAAATTAAAGGTCTTTACTAGCAGAATATAATGCCGCAAATTTGAACTCAAACGGACAACCAAGTCAAGAATGACAATGGTTTAAAGATTAATTTAATTTGCATTTGGGGGCACAGCCCTAGGAATCGGACAAAAATTGTTAACGTAAGCATAGGTCGATATGCACATCAAATTAAAGGTCTTCACTAGTAGATTACAATGCCGTAAATTCAAGCTCAAAAGAACGCCTGAGTAAAAAATGGCAGTCGTTCAAAGATTCAAAATGGCAGGTTCAAGAAATCTTTGAACGGCTGCCATTTTTTACTCAGGCGTTCTTTTACTTTTGAGCTTGAATTTACGGCATTGTAATCTAATAGTAAAGGTCTTCAATTTGATGTGCATGTCAACCTATGCTTCTATTTAAGATTTCCTTCTAACTCCTTGCGGGACGTCCCCATGATATGACAGAAAATTGATAGTTCCTTAAAAAAGTAGATTTTTAAGTGTGGTGTTGATGTGCAAAATCTTATAGATTTATCTGTTTTCGTTTAGAAAATATTAAACCGGTCCGGGACTTTTGGGACAGTCTGTATAACCAAACAGTGAGACACAAATAATGAGAAATTAACCATAAAATAATAGGAGCAAATTGTAAACAAAACACGACATCTACAGAAAACCGGACAGAACTAACAATAAAATTGGCTTCATCTGGTCCATAAGGATGGGAAATCTACTAAGGCACTATGTTTTATCTTTGGTAATTTTGAGGCAAATTGTAGAGAAAACAAACGGACAGTGTTAAAAGGTCAAATAATCAATTCCTGAGAACATTTCATAAAAAAATATTTATAGATATAACTAATAATTAATAGGTAACAAACAATAAATAACGATACTGTATTAGGATAGGTTGATTGTTGGCTAACCAGGAACTTCTGGTTTGAAACATTCGTTGCACTGTGTGGGTGAGGCAAGACAGTCTATGTGATACACGTGTCCACATCTAGAACAGAAAGTTTAAACTACAAACTGCATTCGAAACCATATACCATGTCTCTCAAAAGTCCCACCGCCCCTTGTTATTTTTTTATTATTAACAGAGATAAAATTATAATATACAGGGAATTATTATTTATATGATCAAAAAATAAATTTTCACCATCCCCCCCCCCCAGAAGTGGTGGTAGTTTGGTGGTAAGTCAAAATTTTCAAATGTAAACTCCTCTCGAGTTAAATAAAGAAATCAAAATACTAGGTGGCGTTCGCAGAGGCATCCACAAAATTGAGCGGAGTCTTCAGGGTTCCATATATATTGTTATTGTTGTAACCACTTACCATCTTTTTTGTATATTTACCGTCTTGTGAGTAATAGCATAAGCGTAAATATATGTTTTAAGTGTTATAAGACGTTTCTTTTATTTAATTTCCGTATCTTGTTACTGACCTTCACCATTGAGCTTCATAATTATTTTTACCTACAATTTTAAGTGAAGAGACCGTTTGTGTAAAGATAAATATTGGTGTAATTAGATTAGATACACGTTGTTTCGTAAGGAAGGGGAGTAAAAATCACAGAGATGTAATTTTAGGCATTTTCGGAGACCTGCATTTACATTTGAATTTTAAACCCTCAGGGTTAGTCATCAACTTATTCTAAAACAGGGCGGTACAGTTCTAGCTAGTTATAATCTAGAAATCAACCCTTTACAGTTTCGGATTCTACCATTTTGGCTACTAATAACTGCATAAGAGGACTTTATGTGAGGGTGGATATATAAGTGAAACCGCAAAACATATATTATCGTTACAAAAGTTATATTCAACATTTACATTCAAGCGTTTAAACCATAACCCATGTGTTGCACGTTAATAATTGTATAATGAATTGGAAGGTGATCAAAGACGAAGATTAAGCCGTTGAGTTTTTGCTAAAATTATTGTGCTTCCTAGCCGTCCTTGTTGATCTTGACAAGATCAAACTATTTGCTACATAGCGGCTTTTAAAACACGTAATGAAATCCACAATTTATTTAAGGAAACCAGAGTGTGGATGATATGTACATTTTTTTTACGTGTTTGAATCTATAAAATTAATACGCTACATGAAACTTTGTCGGTTGATCTCCTCCGCCATTTCTTAACCGATTTTATCCATTGACGTCTCATTGGAAAGAGCGTTTCGTGTAGATTTGCAAACTGGCCTTACATTTTTGAAAAAGTCCCTTGGGCTCTGCCCCAGTGGCTGTTAAAGTTCCCATGTTATCATTATGGAGATAATAATTGTTAACATTTTGATCAGCTGTATATTTAATTAATGTTATTTATTTTTCAATTCAATGAAAAGCACTGAGTACATTTACTTACTATTTGAGTTTGTGAAAACATAACCTCCAAGACGGATCGTGATAGGATGGTTGTATCTTAAATTTATGTATTTATCGTTGTTTTGTGTCGCTATGACGGATTGAGTTAGCATGATTGTAACTGAAATTTGTGCATTTATCGTTGTTTTGTGTAGCTATAATTTGTTTATTTGTTGTTGTTTTTTCTTTTAAATGCCTCCGACACGACGACAACGAAACATAGACAGGAGGCGTAATCGTGATAACGACCGCAGCTACAGAACAATGGCGCGTAACAGGCTTAACTCAACACAGTCAGCACCTGACCCTGGACAATCTCAACTATTAGGTTACAAATGCGCCCTAACACTACCCCAAAATGACTTTTCGTTCTCAATTGGTCCTCTATCAATAACCTGTGTTGCCTGTACAGCGAGGCATTTTGAGAAGGAGAAAACCGGCAGGAATGATTTAGGTTTATCAATACGAAGATAAACATGGTCTGAGTTACACACCGGTAATCTTTGAGTTGACTCTTTTAAACTCATTGTAAATATGACTGTTATTCGTTTTGAAATAACTCCTGTAATACTTTGCAATTGCTCGAATTCGAGCAACATGTAAACTAGTGAAAAACTAATTCATCACGTTTTATATAAAAGCTAATATAAAAAATTTTGGTTTTCTCAAGTAAGCCAATCACATAAAAAATATCAACTGAGACACTATTATTTATGATGAGTAGCCTCTGGACCATACAGCAACAATAATAATGGTTTAATTTACCTCTGTCAATATGGTCCTTGCGTGTATCTTGTCACTACTGCAGTTTCGTGCTCGTGGAGCACATCATCAGGTGAAGGTCAAAAAGTTAAAACATTTTCCTCACGTGAAGGTCGTCAATTTTTGAAAACACACCGAAAAACACATAACACACGAACGGTACGAAAAAAAAAAACATTTATAAACTTGGCCAATACATTAAAAACGTTACACACGGGGTCCGGCGCCGGTAGAAGACAAGTCATGACTGACGTGTGCCGTAGTCGGTAGCCCCTCCATCCTCACTTCTCTTATCAGAACCTTTTCTTTGGTCTTGTTCCAGGATGTGAATGGCGGTATTATAAATAATGTTAGACTGGAATGAGAGTTGTTCGTTTAAAATATGGTTTGGATGTACTTTAGCTGCTCGGTAAATCTCAAATTCCTCGATGGTGTCCATATATTTACTTTTATGACAAGTATGTATTACTTCTAAATTTGTTTGTATGTCGGTATAACTATGGTTTGAATCAATGATATGGTTGGCAAAAGCTGATTTGGAGTTCTTTCTAGGTAAATGTTCCTTAAATCTAGTTGCAAAAGAGCGTGATGTTTGCCCAATATAAAAACTGGGGCAATCATTACATGTTATTTTATACACTCCAGTGTTGTTTAATTTGTCGCTATTGTCAGTTTGTCTTTCTTTTAAATTACTGGACAGTTTGTTTGTGGTTTTGTAAGCAACTGTGATATTGTTTTTTGCCAATTCTTTTTTGAGAACATTATTAAGTACAATGCCATATTCCGCACTAACATATTTTTTGGGTTCTTTTGTATGTATCTGATTATCCTTTTTCTTGTTTCTTTGTTTCCTAATCAGTTTGTCGATCAGGGCACTCTCATATCCGTTAGATACTGCGATGTATTTTAATATGTCCACTTCATTGTTGTAATTTTCTGTAATTTAGTGGTGTGGGCAAGCAGTCTATGGACGTAGCTATTGTAGGCAGATAATTTATAATTATGGGGATGATGCGAAGTTGAATGAATTGTCTGGTCAGTGGTTGTAGGTTTCCGATAAATTTTAAAATCGAACCTGTTGTCTGCTCTTGTGATGGTAACGTCTAGGAAATTTAATGACTTATTTTTCTCAATTTAAACTGTAAATGTCAAGTTTTTGTGAAAAGTATTAAAGTATGTGCTGAGTAGCTTAATCTGCCTTTCAATGCCCTGGAATACAATAAATGTATCGTCTACGTATCTGCTGTAATGGATGATTTTGCTCTTATAGCGATTTAAATCGGAGAATAGAAACTTGTTTTCAATTTTATTCAAAAACAGTTCTGACAGAACACTGGAAAGAGGCGATCCCATTGTCAGTCCCTCGTTTTGTTTGTAATACTTGTTATCAAACATAAAATAATTCTGTTTTAAAACACATCTTGTTAAGTTTATAAGTTCGTTTTTAGCCTCGCTAGACAATGTAGAGTGTGTATTCAAATTATCTTTCAATATATCTAACGTTTTGTCGATTGGTACGTTAGTAAATAAATTTACAACATCAAATGAAGCGAGTATATAGGATCCCTTTAGTTCAATGTTAGATATTTTATTTACCAAATCAATTGTATTCTTTACACTATGGTCATTTTCTAACTTGGTTTCCCTCCTAATAATCTTATCTTACAAGACCAAAGAAAAGGTTCTGATAAGAGAAGTGAGGATGGAGGGGCTACCGACTACGGCACACGTCAGTCATGACTTGTCTTCTACCGGCGCCGGACCCCGTGTGTAACGTTTTTAATGTATTGGCCAAGTTTATAAATGTTTTTTTTTTTTCGTACCGTTCGTGTGTTATGTGTTTTTCGGTGTGTTTTCAAAAATTGACGACCTTCACGTGAGGAAAATGTTTTAACTTTTTGATCTTCACCTGATGATGTGCTCCACGAGCACGAAACTGCAGTAGTGACAAACTACACGCAAGGACCATATTGACAGAGGTAAATTAAACCATTATTACTATTATTTACAAAGCTGTATGTATTACCATGTAAATAAATAAACTTTGTTTGCATTAAAACACGTGGTTCTGTTCTCAAAAACCCCCACAAAATTCATATACTAACTAGAGGACCTATGCTGCTCAGCAGCGTTGAAATAAATACCATATCCGAGAAATAATAAATTTATGATTTTTGATTGTGTAATACAGTATCTTGAACATAAAATAAAATGATCAATAGCTCAAATTAAAGTCTATAACTTACTGATTATTTTGAGTCTAAAACATAGAAAAAACATAAACAATACTGAAGATATTGATTTTTAATCATAGAAACCCCTTATAAAATATAATTTTCATGTTGATAGTTCACCTTAGGTTTACTTGAAACTCGTGCAATTTGAATAGCTAATAGCTTAAATGAAAGCTGGTATTTCACTGAAGGTTCTTAGACCAAAATATATAGGACTGTATAATTATAACTGGTGGAGAATTAGAAAATAAATCAAATTTATGTTTTTTGGTTGAGTAATACAGTAGATAAATATATGTCGATACGTGATGTGAAATCTTTGCGTGCATACCTTCAATTTGAGACCTCATTCATGAAAATCGGTCGGGTAGAAGAGGCAAACGAACTCGGAAAAGAAAAACAAAATTTAACTCCCACAAGAAATGTATGCAGAGCAAATTTCGTTTACGTGTAAGCCGAGTGGGACTGTAGATATATATATATATGCCGATGATGATGTGAAGTCTGTGCGTGCATACTTTCAACTTGCGACCTCAATCATGAAAATCGGTCGGGTAGAAGAGCCAAACAAACTCGAAAAAGAAAACCAAAATTTGTTTAATCATATACTATTCTCAAACCTTTTCATCACTAATATAGGGGTT